CAGTAGCAGCGGCGGCTGTGACTGGTCCGCCGGTGGACACAGCAACGGAGGAGTAGTACCTGCCACGGGGAAGCCAGTAGCACCTGGCTGAAGACTGAGAAGGTGGCGAAGAGCACTAGTAGCTCCACCATGACCTCCAGCACCTCCAGCACCTCCAGCACCTCCAGTACCTCCAGTACCAGCAGCTCCACGACCTCCAGCACCAGCAGCACCTCCAGCACCTCCAGCACCAGTAGCTCCAGGTCCTCCCGTAGGACCTCCGACGACACCAACACCAGAAGGACTCGCAGCACCCCCAGAGTCAGCACCCGAAGTCGCAGCACCCCCAGATTCAGGACCCTCTGTCTCAGCACTCTCAGTATCAGCACCCTCAGGCTCAGTGCCCTCAGTCCCGGTACCCTCAGTCCCAGCACCCTCAGGCTCAGTACCCTCAGTCCCAGCACCCTCAGGCTCAGTACCCTCAGTCCCTGCACCCTCAGTCTCTGCTCCAGTGTCCACAGCAGCAGGCTGCGGAGGCGGCGAAGACGGCAGAGGTGGGAACCCGGGGGGGGGTAGCCAGACGAGGAGAGCGGTCACCCCCAGACTCACCACCCCCAGGCCCAGCTCCAGTAGTCTCAGCTCCAGAGTCCACAGCAGCAGGCTGCGGAGGCGGCGAAGACGGCCGTGGCGGGAAACCCGGGGGGGTCTCCAAGCGAGGAGTGCGGCGAGTGGTCGCCGTGTTGTCGGCGACGGCGTCACCCCCCTCAGCTGAGTCAGAGGATTCAGAAGAGATCTCAACTGGCTCATCCAAGGGGGGTGGGTCTACCTGGGACACACCTGAGGAAGCAGGACCCGGTGGGGGAAGGGGGTCTACCGGGGGGGGACTGGTACCAGGAAGAGAGGTGCGAGGGGGACCGGGTGGGACGCGTGCGGGTGAAGTCGGTAGTAACAGACCGACTCGTCGAAGGTGACGTCCTGAGAGGACAGAACACGACGCGAGGCAGGGTGGTAGAACTGCCAGGGTGGAGCGTCGGTGGGGAAGCCCAGGAAGACACAGCGGAGAGTGCGAGGAGAGAGCTTGCTCGCTTTGGTATCGCGAACAAGGGAGAGCGCGCCCCAGACCCGAAACGACGACGCATCACCAGGCTGTCCTGTCCAACGGAGTGTGGGCGAGGTCTCTGGAGCAGAGACACGGGGCCAGAGGTTGAGCTGATGCGCGGCGAATCGGACCGCAAACGGCCACAGGAAATGGGGAGCAGCCGCATGGATCATGGAGGTACGAGCAACCTCCATGATCAGGCCAATGCGACGCTCAGCTATCCCTTTTTGCTGCGGAGAGGCCGGAAGCGTGAACGACAGGGTGATGCCATCATCCTGGCAGAACGTCTCAAGGACGCCAGAGGAGAACTCACCACCCCTGTCAGAGTGCAGATGCAGAACTGGAAAGTCCCGCCAAAACCGCTCGCGCAGTTGGTGACGAGTAGCACGGATCCTAAGGATCAAGACACCAGTGACATCCGCCTTGCGACGCAAGGGGAAGACGGTGGTGTAGCGTGTGTAGTCGTCAACAACCAGCAGGAAGTAGCGCTCCTGGTCCGTTCCACCGACGGGGACCGGGCCCCACACGTCCAGGTGGAGAGTCTGCCGAGGAGCAGTGGTCGGAGGAAACACGGAGGAGTGAGGAGCGGCGCGCTGCCGCCCCTCGACGCAAGGAAGGTACGGCGGCGCAAGCGAGCGCGGGAGGGGGGGCAGGGTCGTAGGGAGGCCAGAGACCAGGAGCCGGGAGTGCATGCCGCGCAGACGCAGCTGCGAAGGGTGGCCAAGACGGTGGTGCCAAAGCTGAGCAGGGTGGGTGAGGAGGCGACACGAGCAGGACGCAGCGAGCTGACCAGACGCAGCCACCTGACCAGACGCAGCTACCTGTGCAGACGCTGTGGTGAGTGTGTACAGGTTCGACCCCGGCTGTCGTGTGAACGTAGCCAGGTGACGGCCTGTCTTGGCGCATGTGCAGATCGCCACACGCTGACCTCCAGGAGTAAAGGTGTCAACCCAAACATCCTGAAGGATGGCGTTGCTCACCAGGTTCGTCGAGAACGAGGGGAGGTGGAGGCCTGACTGAGAGTCAGAGGGGACAGCTGGGCACGGGAGGACAGTGGAGTGGCGTGCAACCACCGGGCCCCCAGAGGGGTCCGCCAGTGAGACTGGGACTGGTGTAGTGAGTGGGGTGACAGTGGTGCAGTCGCAAAAGAAGCAACGGGACGCACCAGAGTCAAGCGTGAAAGTGTGCAAGACCTGAGCAGTAGCAGCAGACTCACTAGCACCTGGGGCAGTAGCGACACTAGCACCTAGAGCGGCAGCAGACTCACTAGCACCTGGAGGAGCAGCATCACCACCAGCATCGCACGGCACATACGAGTAACACGCACCCTCAACACTATAATCAGCAACATACATGGCATAGAGAGCAGCATTGATCTTAGCAAAGTCAAGAGCAAACACATCTACCCCCTTCCCCATCAGCTGCAGCCAGTTCCTCACCTGCTGGTCCTCGGTGTACTCAGTCACCCAGGCATCCTCAAGACGGCCGAAGCACTTGTACTCAGTGTGCGGCTTCCCGCAGACAGTGCCCTTCAGAGGCCCCGTGCGTCGGACATAAGGGCAGCGACCAGAGCCCCCAGAGCCCCCACGCTGGAGAACCCACTCACGGAGCTGCTGGTCGGTGGGATTGTCTGGGAGGCGCGGCAGCTGCTGACCACTCCCGTAGCCACGGGAGGGTCCACGAGCGCCACCACCCCTGCCAGACCCACCCCGACCTCCTCCGCCGCCCCCGCTACACCAACCGCCTCCCCCACCACCGCCGCCTCCTCCACCCTGTCCGCCTCCTCCACTGCCGCTACCCCCAGAGCCACCCCCAGAGCCTCCACCACCCCCGCCACCACCCCCGCCACCACCCCCGCCACCCCCTCCGCTGCTGCCACCACCACCACCCCTGCCCCCTCTGCCCTTGCTGTTGTTGCGCCTTCCACTGGGAGCAGACGCAGCGCCAACGTCCTCAGCACCAAGGAGTTCGACTGCAGCAGCGGTAGCAACTGAGGGGAGGAGAGGGGAGGGAGTACACCCTTCAAAGAAGGGGGAGCGGGGAGTACCACGAGAGGCAGCGACAGCGACAGTGCTCTTCTCAGCCTCGAGAAGGGCCTGCTCAAGCGAGTCAAGTGTGAGCTCAGTGGGGTCAAGGGCTAGGAACTGGTCCATGACAGTGCGAAGGGAGTCAGGGAGGCGAGTGATAAGAAAGTACAGGGTGAAGTACTGCGGGGGGGGGTTCTTAGCGAGAAAGGCCGGCTTGAGAGCGGCACGGAAGCGATCCTGACTAGAGCGGAGGTAGGAAGAGGTCAGAGATAGTGCGGAACTCAGCTAGATCGGGATGCAGGTACGGCAGCATGAGACGGCCTACAGCAGCAGTAGCTGGGGAGGAGTAGCGAGCAACGACAGCGTCATAGAGATCCTTGACCGTTTTCTGCCGGCTAAAGTGCGCGCGCTCAGTGACGGGCAAGTGGTTGCAGACAGCAAGGCGGGCAGCTGCATCACGCATGAGCCACTTAGACAGATCCTCTACAGCATCGGCAGCATGGGCTGGGAGCTTTCCCTCAGTGTGCAAAAACAGGGAAATACCATCCTTAGACTCGCTCTGCAGGAACAGCTGGAGATCGTCGAGCCAGACATCAAAGGTAATCGCGCGGCCCTCAGCATCGAACGTAAGAACTGACAGGTTAGCCATAGCAGTAGTAGCAGTGGCAGCAGTAGCAGCTTTAGCAAGTGCAGTAGTAGCAGCAGCAGCAGTAGCACTAGCTGTGGCAGCAGTAGTTGCAGCAGCAGCAGCAGTGACAGCTCGGGCTGGGTGGCGCGGCTCGGACAGGGCGGCGCAGCTCGGACTGGGCGGCGCGGCTCGGCAGGGCGGCGCGGCTCGAAATGGGCGGCGCGGCTCGGGCTCAGTGGCGGATCAGCAGCGGCACATAGCAGCAGAAGCCGGCGCGCAGCAGCAGAAGGCGCGCGTGGGCTGTGGGCTTGCAAGCCAGGGGCGCGCAACAGGTGCGCGTGGGGCCGCTCAAAAGGGGCGCGCAGCAGGTGCGCGCTAGGGGCTGGCGGGCAGCGCGAGTGGCGCGCGCAGCAGCAGGAACGAGGGGGGACCGGGCGCAGGGGCTGACGGGCCGCGCGAGTGGCGCACGGGGCAGCTAGGGCGCGGTCAGGAGGGGTCGCGACTGTGAGAGAAAAAACGTATGGCCGCGCGGGCCGTTTAAGAAGGGTCGCGACAGTGAGAGCGGGGGCGCCAGCGCGCTGGCTACTGTGTAGGGCGTGGCGCTACCACTAGGCGGAACGGTGGGCCCACGTAGGAACGGTTCCTACTCTGATAACATGTCAAGAATAGAACTAGGAATGAATGATTGAACTAGGCAGGAGATGAGTACAAGTAGGGGAAACCTAACCCTACAGTGTTGTACTCACTAATGAGTGACCCTACTGTAGCCTAGAGATACAATTGTAATTTGACAGTAGCATGATGAAGAATTTGAGGCACAGCCATACTGCTACTCTGTACCACTCATTTTGCCTGAGAGAAGCAGAGCTATGATTATCAAACTGATGGTGCTTGAGCAAGGCAGTGTCTGCCCCTGCAAGGATGGGCATGAGCGCACATGCTCATGCAAGTGCGCGTGCAGGCTGCAGCATCTGTGTATATGTGAGGGTGAGTCTGTACGCACAGAGTGAATTCATACTTTCATTAGCATTGCAAGAGCAGTGTGAAACAAAGCAAGCATTGCACAAGGGCTTGATTATTCTGATCCTCGGGTCACCAAAAGCACTGCCTAGTGTAGCACCCTTCACTCCCTCCCCTAGCGCACCCCAAGAATCTTTATTCGCTGCTCTTTCCACCGGTACCACTTTCTCTAAACTCCAGCCCTGTCTGACTCTGACCCCGACATTCCCTAGGGTAGGAATCAAGTTGATCCGGCCGACTGGACCCGTTACTTCCTGGAGAACTGGCCACGCACGGCACCATCAGGGTACTTCTTGGTGTGGATGTTTCCGTAGTGCGCGTTGGGGTGCTTAAAGATCTTGGTGAAAATCGCCACCTCTGCTTTCGTGAGCCACTCAGTATCCCACATGGCGCCCTCACACAGCCACTCGGAGGCGCCAGTCTTCTTGTACTTGCATGGCAGCTCCAGCAGCACGGGGTTGTTCTCCCCCTTCCTCCCCGGGTGGATGTGCGTCTTGGTGGGCGGCATCTCGCCCTCCAGCTTTGAAGCTTTCACCGAGTACTCCACCCACATCAGGTTGCCCTCCTTCCTGACCACACGTGGCAGTCGCAGCAGGGGTGGCAAGAGAATGAAAAGAAGGATTTAGAATCCACTGCTGTGCATCGCAGGATAGAGCAGCAGAGAGTGGCAGGGGATGAAGCCCATGTGTTTTTGGCATTGAGATTGCAAAGAAAACGTGCTGGGAGAAATGTACGCATGGGCTGGGCTCAGGTGTCACAGATGCAATGCAGGCGACGCAAGGCGTGGCGTGGCGAGCTTACTTGTAGAAGTCGAGCTTCATTTGCACCACGCCTCTCTTGTCACCCACGGCCTTCCTGGCAGCTTCGGAGTCATTATTGGGAACCTCGTTGGCGCCAATCAGCTTCGCCGTGAAGGTGTCTGTTGGGGTGAGGTGAGAGCGAGAGAGAGAGAGGGTGAGGTAACTACATGTGGGTGGAGATCCGGAAAGAGGAGAAAGGGTGAGATGGTGTCTACGTGGGGGAAAGAGAGGGAATGCAGGAGGTGAGAAGGGAAGCTTCGAAGGCACTCCATAGGAGGTAAAAACGATGGCCGGAAGGGAAAAGTGTGACGCACTGACCAGTTAAATCCGCCACCTCGCCGGAGTAGGCAACCGCCACGAGCACCGTGAAGAACGCTGCAAGCACGAAACGCATGTGATGGAATCACATGCGATGGAAACACGCTATCAGGTTACCATGCCGCGGAAGTGCGATTTATCAAAGCGATTTTTCGCCATAACAGCACACGTAGGTGTCATAATAACCACATAAAATCAGGAATCTCTGAAGGTACTGCCAGTGCACAGCAATGGGTCAGCAGGCAGCCAGCAAGCAGCGAGTTCAGCGCGGACTGGTGCTACAGTTGCGCGGGTGTGTACGACCATTGGTAGTAGTAACGCTTACCTAGGAATAAGACGCGGTGGGCCGGAGTGAAGGCCATGATTCGGAAGCGAGTCCAGAAGCTGGGGTTGCAAGAAGAAGCGGGTGGTTGCTTGAAGAGTGGAAGGCGGATTGCCGCTGGATGGATTTCTAGGGACTCGAAGCACCCACTTTATAGTCCCATGGAGAGCCTGGACTACGGACTCCATTGGGAACGGGGACGGGCGCGTTGTCATGGTTTGCCGGTGTGGACCGTGAGCAGGAGTGACGGCCGTCACTCGTCTGACGGCGGTGCTGGCGCGGTGAGCAGGAGTGACGGGTGCGACTCGCATGACGGTGCAGCGAGGCGGGATTTCGACTCGGAGGTGCGCCATGCTCGTCTCGTATAATCGCGAGAGAACCCGACGAGAAACGCCGATGGCGTGAAGTTGAGAGTGCCGTCACTTCAGCGAGATTCAGACATATTGTTAGTTACCAGGTTCCTAGCCACAATAATTGCAGCACTTGGTGTGAGGGGAAAGGCGAGGAGTCGAGTGCGATTCTCATCGCGACTCCTTATCAGGTCGACTCGACTAAACATCGAGATATATCATATACATCTTGGTTACATACGCCATCTGATCAGACCATGTTCGTATAAAACCTACAGCATTATATAAGCATACTCCCTTAAAGAAACATGTTTTAAGTTAGGTGCACCTGCACTTATATCGGGGGTATGGCGGTGTTTCTTTTTCATGTCCCACATGTGTATTTTGCCATACACAACGCATGCCCTATACAATCCAACATAGGTATGTGCCAAATGTTATTATTTGTTATAGGCTGCAGTGAGGTGCTCCTTAGTGAGTACAACTCAGTTAGGGTTTCATATTTGTACTGCCTTGCTTTCCTAGTCACACCATTCCGTTGCATTCAGTTTCTGAGATGGTATCACGAGTAGGTTAGAATCATTTCCTAGCGCGCCTCCGCACTCTACACGCCCTCCGTCACGCGCCCTAGCGCCCTCCGCGCCCTAGCGCCCTCCGCGCCCTAGCGCGCCTCCGCGCCTCACGCGCCCTCCATCACGCGCTCAAGCGCCCTCCACGCCCTAGCGCCCTCCGCGCCCTAGCGCGCCTCCGCACCTAGCCCGCGCCCTCCCGCGCCGTCCGCGCCTAGCCCGCGCCCGAGCGCCGTCCGCGCCTAGCTCGCGCCCTCGCCTTAGCCCGCGCCTCGCGCCTTAGCTCGCGCCTTAGCCCACGCCCGAGCGCCGTCCGCGCCTAGCCCGCGCCCGAGCCTCGCGCCCTCGCCTTAGCCCGCGCCTCACGCCTTAGCCCGCGCCTTAGCCCGCGCCCGAGCGCCGCCCGCGCCTCGCGCCCTCCGCACTTAGCCCCGCCCTCCACGCCTAGCCCGCGCCCTCGCCTTAGCCCGCGCCCTCGCCTTAGCCCGTGCCCTCACCTTAGCCCGCGCCCTACCGACGCCCTCGCCAAAGGCCACGCCCGGCCCACGTGGCACCTCCTCCTAACGCCCCAACCGCCCCTCCTCACCTAGCCAGCGCGCCCTCCTAACTCGCGCCCTCACCCAACCCGCACTAGGCGCGTGGTTCCTTCCCCCCTCCACCGCCCTGTTCCCCGGGCTCAAACCGTTCCTACTGCTATTGGCTTTCCGCTCAGCGGCTGGCAGCCGCTTCTCTCTCCGGTCACTCGATTTCGACCCGGGTAGCACCTAGCTCCTAGCCTCTAGCCCATAGCCCGGTTTCCTCCGTACCTTTCGCCTAGTCTCCACTGGCGCTCCTAGGACTCCTAGTTTCACCTCCTGCGTCGCTAGCTGTTCTCCCTCCTCGCTCCTAGCTCCGCCTGCTCCGTACTCCAGCCGCCGTTAGCCTAGCCTCCACTATGGACTCCTCCCGCCGCCTTCGCTTCAATGCGGAAGGACGACCGATAGAGTTCGCCAGACTCAGCGCTACCTCACCAGTCAGCGCCAGAACGGCGCCACCTTGTACGCCCACGCGTCCGGCGCCCTCCAGGCACCCCGGCGTCCCGAGCCCCTACCTGCCGAGCCCCCCCCGACTTCGGAGGCGCACGCGGACTACGATCGTCTCGTCTTGGCACGGGACGTTTGGGACTCCCGTCACGCTGCGGCTGCACTCGCGCTGACAGAGCTCCTTCCACCGACTGAGGCCGCTCACTTCGACCTGGTAGAGACTGCGAAGGGGGTTTATGATGCTAATTCTGCACGCTATTCCACCCCTTCCTCTCCCTCCCTCAGCCGCATCCTCATGCCGTTCGTGTTTCCCGGCCTCGGCTCGTTTGCGACTGTCTACGACCTAGCCACTCACTTGCGTTCCCTTGTCGCTAGCTACCGTGCAGCGTGCACTGAGGCTCAGCTTCTTGTTGCTCCCCCTCCTATCTGGCTCATCGTCCACTGGGTAGTCACTCGTCTCCTTGACCGCGCTCTTACGCAGAGGCGATAGAGGGTCCCTACTCCTCTCAGTGGCAGACAGCCATGGACGCAGAGATGGCTTCCTGGAAGTCCACAGGCACTTGCGTCGACGAGGTTCCCCCACCTCGAGCGAACATCGTCAGTGGCATGTGGATTTTCAGGGTGAAGCGGCCGCCGGGTTCTCCGCCTGTCTTCAAGGCGCGTTACGTTGCTGGAGGCTTCAGTCAGCGACAGGGAGTTGACTTCTTCCAGACCTTCTCCCCTACCCCGAAGATGACCACTCTTCTGGTGCTGCTGCACGTCGCCGCTCAGCGTGATGCTTAGCATCCTGGCACGCTACGTTGCGCCCGGGAGACACCGACCAGAGCACTGGGAGGCCGCTAAGAGGGTGTTGCGCTACTTGTGCAGTACGTCGGGCATGGGCTCGTGTTTGGAGGATGAGCTCGAGTTGTCCTCACTGGCCACGCAGACGCTTCTTGGGTTGCCGACTTGGCTACGCAGCGGTCGTCACAGGGTTACACTTTCAGCCTTGGCTCCGGCTCTGTTTCGTGGCGGTCCACCCGCTCGTCTTCTGTTCTCAGTTCCAGTTGTGAGGCTGAGATCTACGCAGGGGCCATGGCTGCACAAGAGTTACACTGGCTCACCTACCTGCTGACCGACTTGAGAGAGCCGCCTCATTCTCCTCCAGTTCTGTAGGTCGACAACAAGGCCATGATTGCCTTGTGTCAGGAGCACAGACTGGAGCACAGAACGAAGCACATGGCTCTGCGCTACTTCCTTGCTCGAGAGTTGCAGCAGCGTGGTCAGCTTCGTCTTGCTTACGTGGCCTCTCGGGCCAACACTGCTGATATCTTCACCAAGGCACTTCAGCCTTGTGATCATCAGCGTTTCTGTACTGTTCTAGGCCTTGTGCCTGCTTGGTCTCACTTGCTCACTTCTTGACTTTGCTTGTACTGTGATCTATATACATATACCTGCATGCTTACACTTGCTAGGTTGTGATCACTGTACGGCTTGTTCTCCTTTATATAACTCTACATGTGAACTGGCCTTGTGGCCATTTGTTTGTGCTCAGAATGCGTGGTGACTTCGTGATCCACCCTGAGCTTGCTTTGCTTTTCTTGACCGATCTTGTGACCTCTTGTTCTCCCCCACTTTGCCTATGGGGGTGTGTCAAACTTATATGCTGCTTATTGTGTAGGCTATAGTAGGGTAGCCCATATGGGGTACAACCCAATTAGGGTTTCCTACTTGTACCCATCTTGCTGCTAGTTCATTCATTCTCGTTCTTTCTTCTGACAGCTCGGGGGGGGGTTAGGAGGGCATGGGAGGGAGGGTGGGTGCAAGCTTTGGTGATGATGCTGGGGCGAGTGGGGATGAAGGTGCAGAGGGGGGTGTGCTGGTGGTGAGGGAGGATGCACGGGAGTGTCAAAATATAATACGTGTTGTAGGCTGTAGTGAGGTGCCTTCTAGGGGGCACAGTTTCTAGGTTTGCATATTTGTACCCCATCCCTTTCTATTCTACACTTTCCGTTGCTAGCTACTCTTAAGATGGTATCACGAGTAGGTTCGTTCTCGCCCGTTCCTAGCCTAGCACGCACCCGCGCCTCCGCGCCTCTGCGCCCTCCCCTAGTGCACCCTCCGCGCCCTCCGCGCCTAGCTCGCGTCTCCGCGCCTCCGCGCCCTCCCCTAGTGCACCCTCCGCGCCCTCCGCGCCTAGCTCGCGCCTCCGCGCCCTTCGTGCCCCCGCACCTAACCCGCGCCACTGCACCCTCCGCGCCTCCGCACTCTCCGCGCCTAGCCCGCGCCCTAGCCTAGCGAGCGCCCTACCCTAGCCCGTCACGCGCCCTTGCCAGCCCAGCAGCGCGCGCCCTGCCCCAGCCCGTCACGTCGCCCGTGCGCCCTGCCCCTAGGTCGCGCGTAGCCCGTACGCCCTGCCCCAGCCCGTCGCGTCGTTCGTGCGCCCTGCCCCTAGGTCGCGCGTAGCCCGTACGCCCTGCCCCAGCCCGTCGCCTCACCCGTGCACCCTGCCCCTAGCCCGCGCGTAGCCCGTGCGCCCTGCCCCTAGCCTGGGCGTAGCCCGTGCGCCCTGCCCGTCGCCCACGCGCGGCCCGTATGCCCGACCCCTAGCCCGCGCGTAGCCCGTGCGCCCTGCCCGTCGCCCAAGCGCGGCCCGTACGCCCTGCCCCTATCCCGCGCGTAGCCCGTGCGCCCTGCCTGTAGCCCGCGCGCCCCTGGTCCGCCCCCCCCCGCGCGCCCTTACCCACCCCTGCCATGCACACCTCGTCCTACCCCGAACGCCCGTAGCCTGAGGCGCCCCGAGCCACACCTTCGTTTAGGGTTTCCTCGGATTT